TGTACTATGTGTGTAAGTGGATCTTGTGTGCTTGTGTGAATCGTGCGGTGTGTGTGAGGATCTTGTGTGCTTGTGTGAATCATATGGTGTGTGTGTGTGTGTGTGGATCTGGTGTGCTCGTGTGAATCGTGCTGTGTGTGTGTGTCGATCTTGTACTATGTGTGTATGTGGATCTTGTGAGCTTGTGTGAATTGTGCAGTGTGTGTATGAGGATCTTGTCCTGTGTGTGTGAGGTGATTTTTTTGTGCTTATGTGAATCGTGCTGTGCATGTATGAATCACATATGTGTATTTGGGAAAATTGAGACTATCTCCATACTGCTAGTACTAGTCTGTGTGATCCAGACTCTTCTGCTGGTATTTCTGATGCAAGTTTTACAGAGTTTTATGAACTAACAAAGGAAGACTCGGACAGAAAAAAAACCTGTCATAGCCATTTCACACTGAACTTAAGCAGATTCAGCGCTGCATGAAGTAAAATCTAAGAAAACCACAAAAAAGATTTAGGACAATTTGAAGCCCAGCGGGAATCCAACACCAGAAACGAGCTCAGCTTTGTGCCAGTAAAGTTTTTTTATACAAAGATCTGTTAAAAGCAGCCTAGTGCCCCAGATTCATGAGGATCTTACAGGTTAGTACAGAGCAGTGGTCTTAAAACTTTTTATAGATCAATATAATATCACTGAATGGACGACAAACTCCAATTACTCTACATCCCAACAGTCTAGGTTCTATAGAAGGAAGAGAAAAACCAAATCAATCGTCCTGAATCCAAAAACTCTCTTTTCTAACATCCTAAATGAGTGAATTTCACCATTGTGGAACAATAAATGTCACACAATGGTCACACCATGCTGGTCTGCAATGTTTCCTATCTTGCACCACATTATCTTACTTTGATCCATCCATCCATCATCCCTATTTATTCTTTCATCAATTCCTTCCTTCCTTCCTTCCTTCCTTCCTTCCTTCCTTCCTTCCTTCCTTCCTTCCTTCCGGACTGTAGACTTTTTCACAGGGAAAAGTAGGAAATCTGAATATATATAACAAAAAATGTAAACGATCCGCTTTTCTTGCAAATTGCTGCATGCGCTTTTAAACATTAATAATTAATCTATTTCTGATTATCAAATCCAACTGAGATGATAAAATAAATAGTAACGGCGTGCAGACACCAAAGGCAGTGCTGTATTAAGTATTTTTAAATAGTTTTAAGACCTTTTGGGAAAGTTACAGTTCCACACCTGGTCTGCCGCACTAAGACTTTAATCCCGCCTGTTCACCATCAGTCCAACGCGCAGAGCTTACAACTATAATTAGAGCAGAAGATGCTGCTGTAAAGTCAGCTGTTCAAAGCATGCGTTCTGGTTTCGGTACTGACCCCAAAGTCTCTCTCCTGCGTGGAGCGCTGTCCCGGTGAGTGGGAGCTCGGTGCAGCCGCCAGCAGCTCCGCGCAGAGCGGAAAGGAGAGGCGGCTGAGCCGCTGGGAGCCTCCGGGCTGGAAGACGCGCTCCGCTCCGATCCGCCTGTTTGAGGGGAAGTTCAGCCTCCAGGAGCAGGTTTCCTCTCCTGCTCTCCGTGGATGTGGAGGGTGACAGGGAGCAGTGGAGTGGGATAAAGTAGGGACTGCCTTTCCTCCGCTGCCAGCCACTGACTGACAGACAGACAGGCGGGTTAGTTCCTGACCATCAGGGGCCACAGCACTGCTACGCCCCCCGGCATCCTCACCGTTCCCTTACATCACACCATTCTTTTCTAAATTCATCTGTTTATCATCTATTCAAGGATTAATTACAACAAATCATAAATTAATACAAAAAAAATGGTAGAGATCTGAGATGGGTTTATGAATAATGCTTCACACGCCTCCACTGACAGTAAGTTAGAGAATAAAGTGTCTTTATTTGCAGAGTGCCTTCCTTCCTTCCTTCCTTCCTTCCTTCCTTCCTTCCTTCCTTCCTTCCTTCCTTCCTTCCACCTCTATCACTGCAGATGCTTTCCATCGGTGCAGCTGACTAATAGGATAACAGAGGAGACTGGCAGATTAAAGACAGCCAGTCCAAGCAGGGTGAACTTCACTAAGCTAAAGACACTCAGTCAGCTTATATAAAGTTTTAGATATATATATAGTTAGGTATCTGATTTCTGTCATGTTTTTCTTTTGAGTATCCAGTTTTGCTTTTCTCCTTGTTTCGTTGTTATTATGCTTTCATTCTTAGTTTATTGTGTTCTTTAGTTTTTTCTCAGTTACTGTCCTAGTCTTGGTTCTGTTAGGTTTTCTTTTGAGTGTTTTACTTTTCTCCATGTTTTAAAGTCCCAGTGGTTTAATTATTATTTTGTTGTAATTTCTAGTCTTCCAGGTATTTCATTTGTTGCCCTCTGCTGCCCTCTTGTGTTCTCCTTTCTCCCTAGCTCCTGTTTTCTTTCTGCTCTGCCCTTACCTGTTCCCAATCTGCTCATTAGCCCTCTCTTGGTCTTTGTCTCCTTTAAAAGCCCTCTCTCTTTGGTCCCTCTTTGCTGGGTCCTCGTCTAACCTCTTCTGTCTTTCTCCCACTCGTCGTCCTGGTTACAGTTCTTCCCCTGCTGACTCCTTGGTTTTTTTGGTAATATTTGACTTGAGTTCTCGTTTTGGGATTTTTGATTGCCTGTTTTTTTTTTTTTTTTTACTTTGTTTTTTCAGTAAATCTTCATTAAATCAACCTTCTATTTACCTCTGCCTTCCTGCCTCTGCTTTGGGTCAAGAATCCTGAACCAAATCCTGACATATATACATAAGTTTTTTCTTAGATTGTTTCATAGTAAACATTTATTTTTTTATATTTATTGTTTGGAATTCTATTTTTTTAACAGTGTCCTGTCTGGCAATAAGAATAATTTTCTTGATGCCAAAAAAGAGCCCAGGAGATTTTTCTTTCACAAGAGGAGCTGTAAGGCTATCACAATAGTTTTCTGCTTAATTTATGCATAACAATAGCTTTATTATAATTCATGCTCGGAGTATTACAGATTATATGGACACTGCAATGTAAGTAGAACAGGAAAGGAAAAACAGGAAAAAGAAGATAAGATGAAAGAAAGAGGAGATAAAAGGAGACAGTCGGCTTCATCACCTGCAAAGAGAGATGTAAAAAAGAACAGCACAACCAACGCATATAGTAAAACAGATACAATAAAGTAGCATCTTCATACTATCGCTGAAGTATAAGTAGTATTATTTAATCTGACATGTATACTGTGGTAGCTGATGATAGGAATATGGGCTTTCTGTATATTCTAATACATTTTTTTCCCACATATTTTACATTTCAATATTTTATTTTTACAGATTTTTCTTTTGCATATTTTATTAACTGGATTCAAATTGCGCTTTACAGATGGCATCCTTTGAAATTGCGTTCTCATTGGTTTGCTGAGACATTGGCAATGGCATTGTTATTGGTCCCCGAGCGTTTGTATTGGGCTTTAGATTATGAAATTGCATCTGTAAAACTTAATTTTAAGAAAATGCAAAAATATATACCTATCATATAATTAAATAAATTGAAAATATTAAATTTGAGGGTAAAAAAGGAAAACAAAAATAATTTCAAAAAAACTAAATCTAAGAAATTAGCAAAGTCATTTCAAAAAGATAAATTTCAATTTAGAAAACGTGTTCTTTGCCTATATTTATGTTATATTCAACATGAATGCCATCGGTGCTGCTCAGTGCAACAGTGGGTAGCACTGCTGCCTTGCAGCAAGAAGATCTGGGTTTGGTTCTCGGCCTGGCTCTTTCTGCATTAAGTTTAAAGTTGTCACTGTGCATGCATGGGTTCTCTCAGGGTACTCCGGCTACCTCCCACAGTCCAAAAACATGACCGTTAGTTTACTTTTATGGTTTTTGTGAATGGTTGTTTATCTCTGTGTTTCCCTGAGATGGACTGGTAACCTGTCCAGGGTCGACCCTGCTCTCGCCCATA